TTGCAATAAATGTGTAAAAAATCGATTTTTTGACCTTTGACCTTGGAATATCTGTAGTCGCCGACACCCTACGATAAGTAGGTTTTGAGACAAGTTTTAGGGTGTTGAAATATACGGTTCATAAAAGTTTGTAGCCGACTATCTTCTCATTCCGAGGTGAAACCCTAATTTGCCTGGACTATACGGTTTATAAAAGTTTGTAGCCGACTATCTTCTCATTCCGAGGTGAAACCCTAATTTGCCTGGACTATTTGTCTTTTGTCTCTTATTGTTAAAATATCATTTTGATTTGCTATCTTTGCGAATTAACTGATTTATACTAAATATTGAAAGGAAATAGATACGATAATGGTTGAATTTATCTATTATTGAGTTGAAGAAGCTTCGAAATGATTCGTTCGTATCATAATTAAATTTTATTTGATATTTATGGAACGAACTAGAATAAAGACACGATTTTTAATCCAACGATTAGAAAAATATATTATAAATGTTTGTGAAAACGACATTTAAAAAGCATTTAATACTTTACCAAAGAGTCAGAGATATCATGATAAATATTTCATAAAATTTTATAAGCAGACAAATGCATTACGACAGATTAATTTCGCATTTTCTTTTGGACTCATTCGTATTGTTCTTAGAAAGTTACTTCCATTCTCTCACTTTACATTTTCTTGTATCTCAAACTCTTCTCGTTTTCCAGATGGCAAAATCCATTGCGTGGTTCTCTTCGACAATTCTACGTACGGGTATAAAAGTCTCTTGAAAGTTTTACATGCTTCCAAGGATTTTAGATTCCAAGGTTCTGTTTTTTAAAAACTACACCATTTCTTTTAAAATCGTCAATGCATTTAAATAGATTTTATTTCATGAAGAAAAAAGATATGTATATACATACATGTACATATTTAGGACACTAATGTTGGACACGTTGTAAATATATTGTAAATATATACATACATAAAAAATACATTTGACCTCCCAGATATGCCGCGGATCATAAAGCTGATAAAGTAATCCTCAATACGATTTTTACTACTTGAAAAAAAAAAAATGATTTTATCAAATTCAATATTCTTTTCTTGTCACATATTAATAAACATAATAATATTTTTATTGAAACTATTATGATTACATTTTATTTTATTTTTTTTTTTATTAATATAAGATAAGTCGAATGATATATTTAATAAGAATTTCCTATTGATTTTATTACTTATTAGATATAACTATCTAGAAAGAAGAGTAATTCAAGTTCCGATGGAGATACTTATCTTATCGTAATAATTAATGTTTCCTTTCCCGATCGATTACGATGTCCCAAGAGAAATGTCTTCTCAGGATCTTCTCCGTCTTATTATTTAAGAGAAAACAGCAATTTTCGACGTAGTTTATTTGCATAATATACAAATGATCATAAATTTTAGTTTAAATATAATTTTAGATTTTATCCAATTTGTTTTCCAAAAATAGTTTTTTTTTATTCAATAACAGCAAATAATTTTAAATAAAAATAAGAGAAAATTTTTCATATAAAATTGTATATAGTTGTATGACGTTCCTTCACGGTAATTCTATTTCGAATTTATTTTTTCTTCTCGATTGTGTCTAATCTTTTTCCACATTCTTCCATGACGTGGCATAGCGGGAATCTTTCTCCCCCTTTGACCTCAACGATTGCACACGTGCTATTCCAATAATGCAATCTAAGTGTAATACTGGATAATTGATCCCTAAACATGAGAATGAAAATGACGGATGAGCGCACGGATCACAGGCAGAAACACAATATTTGTGGCAAGGAAAACCAAAACCATAAGCACCCGAGCATTATTAAAAGAAATACAAATCCATATTAGCTGATACGACTTCTAAGGACACCCGTGATAATGTTAACGCAGTGGAATGCGTGGAAAAATAGGTGCGAGAGAAGATGCACCACGATGCGTTGGTAGGGAAGATGTAGATTGACTGATACTGAAAAATGGGGCATAGTTTATCCCCACCAGGAATTCTTTTAGCTCACATAAGGAGGGCTACTTCGGGCCGCGAACCATTTATTAACTTACTAATTAACCGACTAATTGCTTACTTGTTTGTTCATCTTATTAGCTAATTAGGTATTCATTACTATTGTGTTTTTTTCGACGGTCCCTTATGCATTATTCTCGGCATAAACGACCACATCAGCACCGATAACTCAACCCACGTTTCCGACGCTACCACTAATCCGATTCGCCACATTTCGAGAAGCGATCACCTATATTTAAAACCTCTCGCCCGTTATAAATTCTATAAATAATAACTTCATTATTAAATATTCTTGAGAACTAAAGCTCCGGCAAACAATAATTTTTACTAATCGCTTAAAAATCCACGATCCGTTCTCATCCAATCCGATTCTTTCGTGACCTCTTTACATATTTTAACATTTTTTATTATTATTTAATCTTTGGGAAAGACGAACCTGCTCGGTCCTGGCAAAATTCGGTGAATACAGAGTGGCTAAAAAAGGCTTAGCAACTTAATTCTAGAACTCTCGTCTTTAGGACGTAACAATTGTATAGAACACAATATTGATAAGGTTTACAACGGTATTTTGGATCTTACTACATTTTAAACAAAATTTTTCTATTTAAGTGCCGTAATTTAAAAAAATTTCTATCATGAAAGTAATATATTGAACATTTTTTACACTTTTCCGTTCTTTCTCTCGTAAATGGAGAAAAAAGAGCAAAAAAATGAATTTTCTAGTACCTATTTGCTCGAATAAGCTCTTGGAAAAATGGCGGGAGCGTTGACGAGGGACGAATGTACGAGCTAATCGGATTCTACTAATTGGCTTACTCATAGAACAATTAAGAGGATTACAGTTTTTCGATAGCATGTACCGTTGCCTCGCTCAGAATATTGCTACGTTACACACTCGATTCTGGTGTGTATTTACTACGCGTAAATCAAGTCGAATCGTGTGGGAGCGTCTATCAGTGTTCTCTCTCTCTTTTCCTCTCTCTCTCTCTCTCTCACCCTCCTATGGGAATTTATCATCGTTAAAAATTCTCTTTCTCGATAAGTGAAAATTTTCAGAAAGGGATCAGCAGCTTGTTTCAAAAGTTTTCTTGATCATTATTACGAAACAAGATACGTTAACTTTAAGAACATTTTTTCGTATAATTGTAAAGTAACTATAAGAGAAAACTATTAAAGTTAAGTTACATGTTCTATAAGTTCTTTGTGTTAGGAAAGATTTTAAAATAGCGTTACATACGAAAGACAATTATCATGTATATATAGATATATGGTAATTGTATTATAAAAATTGTTATTATACAATATATTATATAACATATATATAAATAAGTTTTCTATCAAATAAATCATAAAATTAATTTTTACAATTTTTTGTACTTAGTTCACTCTCATAATTACCGGTACATATAGTATACATCGAAAGTGTTATTAGGAATCCTAGTTCGGACTACGAGGTTTTAAATACGCAACGAATAAAGAAAATAATATTGATCTCGAAAAAAGAGAGGTCCAATTTTCCGCGACATTTGTATCGCAAATATCTTGTCTAAGATGCAGAGAAGCGAAGAGGAATTCAAATTCTGAAATAGTATAGAAGAAGGTTTGCATGACTCCGCCTCGACTCGATTCGTTTTCATCGTCGATGCTCGACGATGGTTCCGCACATCTTGGAAGAGAGAACGAGAGAAAAAGAGAGAGAGAGAGATCAGAGAATAATACTTTTTACTCGTATGCAGGACGCGCGAATGCACATTTGAATCCTTCTAGATGCAGCAAGCCTTCTCAACTCCTCCTTTCGATTTTTCGAACCGGAAGATACTGGTACCACTGTAAGTCACGTTGAGAATGCAGTGACCTATCAAAGAAGTTTCTTACGATAAACAATGTTGGCAGCCATGCTAGAATAAACAGATGCGGTGAGAATGAGAAACTAGGATCAGTTGTGATTGAAATACTTTCCTGATTAATAGAATTTTCTTATTTTAATAATTAAACATCATATCTTTTACATGTGAATATTTTCGAAAGAACTTTATAAATAAATTTTTTATTGAAACTAATGAAAACAATTATATATTTCATTCTACAATTATTTTTTTTTAATAATAGCTTGTTTTCTACTTAATTATTTGATTTATTTAATTATGCATACCTACTTACTTTTTAATTTACATAATTACATTTATTTCTGTAGTATCTATGTCTTAAAGATAATTCACGCGCACAGCTTCGATTATTACATTTCTCTCTCTCTCTCTCTCTCTCTCTCTCTCTCTTTATTTTTCTCAGAGTTCCACTTCTTCTTCGTCATTTACTTTTATCTTACGGACGATCCTTCCAGCTATCTTCGTATTTACTCGAGCGTTCTTTCTCTCCTTCCGATCGTTCCAAATATCGTCAAGAAAACAGAAGAAAATGCGAACGAGCTTGCAAGACGTCGATCGTACATTTTTGAGTACTGAACCAATCGAACAATATCGATTTATTACTCTTTTCCTCTCCTTTTTCTTTGCTCTCTTGGGTATCTCATCATTGTAATTAACATTATAATAATATTTTTAAAATATCGTCTACCATAATTCCATAAAAAAGTTTAAATCTCTAATTTTTTGCATAACTTACATAAAACTTTCATCAACGAGATCGTTTTAGGTGAAATTTTATTCGAAATTTATGGTCTGTTCTGCTTTATCGACAGATTCAAAATTTGATTGAAAATTTAGATCTAGTTTTATTTGCATATTGAAATAATGGATCAAATTAATCTTATGTCTTTTGCATCCTCGGGAGACGAATTTTCAAACTTGCTATAAGTCGAGTTTCGCTGTTTACGAAGTTTAAGCATATAAACACACGATTTGTATTTAAGCTTTAAACTTCCTCGTTGATCTGTATTGCTAAGTGGACCAAAAGGTCTTAGGTGAGTTAAAATACCTTAGGTTATTGTAAAGCTAAATTCAGTTTTTTTTTTAAATTTTCAATACCAATTTTTGTCAGGTTATAAAACTACAGGTTTTTTAATTTTTTCTCAATTTATGTAGAATTATTTTGTAATTAAACCAAATTACTTTGCTGCTTACGTTATTACATCTTCGAACAATTATCAATAATTCTGAAAATTAATTACGAATAGATACTTATGTTAATTTAATTAAAATATCAGTTAATAATAATGACTTTCACGTTTAATTTTTTTACATTTTTTCTTTCATTTAAAATTATTGATATCTTAAAAAACATTCCCAATGAAACACAACGGAAACGAGACGTACTTTAAATAACGAAAAAAGTGGAACGGATTTTAAAGATAGCTAAACGTTTCTCGTATGTTCATATTCAATGAATAATCGATTAAATGAATGAATGATGAGCCGAGATGAAAGTGGACTCGCCCTTTACGTATCGGACAATCGTAAATATATCTTACCAATTCAACTTAATATCGATTCAATGCAGATTCGTTTTACGTTGAAAGAAATCAGTGTCACGAGTGAGAAATAAACTTTTTTGACTTAATACGTTATTAATCGAAAAACTCGTTAAAAATTCCTACAAAAATTCGAAAATGAGAGAGAGCAAGGGAAGACTATGAGGGTAAGAAAGAAAGAGGGGTAGAGGAACGAAATAGAAGTAGGGAGAAATTCATTGGCGATTTATTAGCTCGACGTAGCGGTAGAATCTCAGTGTTGGCAGCCGCATAACGAGTTTATTAAATATTTTATAACGGTTGAAAGAGAGAGTAAAAGAGATGTAAGGGGTGAGAATATGAGAGAGAAGAGAAAGAGGCAGGCAGGAAAACACGAGAAGGCTATGTGGAAGGGAAGAGGAAAACAGCTGTGGAAAAAGGTAGCGAAGCGAAGAGGAGGTGGCAAGCACGGATGGCCAGAATATATCGCTTAA